TTTGGAGTTCCTGATCTGTTTGGATAGCAGTCATGAAAAAAGACTTTGTAGAATTGGATTAGGTTTTGGATATAATTTGAGCTCATATACATGACGAAGAAGATTCCTTAATTTATTCAAACATTGAACTATTCTTCATTATTCCAATATGATTAGGAAGCTGAAAATGATAAACAAAAAAAATAAAAAATGCCTAAATGATTGAATCTCTTTGTAATCTTCTTTGCAAGTCTTGATCTCCTACTGCTCCATCTACTAATGATAGAGTAGGTGTGGTGAATTTTTTTAGTGATAGGGTTGGCCTGGTGTCTTCTTGAACTCTCTACAGGCTGATTTGAAGGTGCTTTAAATTTTTCCTTTGAAATTTATGTAATGTGTTACTAGACCCTTCGCTACCTCACGCTATCCAAGATGGACTCTCTCTCTCTCTCTCTTTCTCTCTCTCTCTCCATGTCATTCATTGTGCCTATAGTTTCATCTTCTTTCCAAGCCCATCAATTGTGCCCTTAGTTATCCCAACCAAATCGGACTCTTTATCTCTCCCATCAATTGAGCCCATTGATCATCCCAAGTCGGACTCTCTTTCTCTTGCTATTTCGTTCATTATGGCTATGTTTTGTTTTCTTTCCATGTTGATTAATTGTGTCCCTTCTCTCTCTCTCTCATATTATCTGTATGTCTCATCTTCCTCACCAGTCTATTTATTATGCATAGAGAAGGCTAAAACACTATAACTTCCATACAATCTCATTTACCAGGCTTAAACCCAAATCTCAAATTCCATTTTTCTTAACCGCTGTCCAAAGCTGTGTACGGATTTCTTGTGGGTCCATGGCATCCAAATCATGTGGTGATATTTTTTAAAAAATAATTTTTATGATCAAAATTAAATTTATAAATTTGAACACTATTTTTGCTTTAAGCTAAAATTATACTTTTATTTGTACAACATATTTTAATGTGTCTCACCTTTTGAGCAAATAGTTATATATACAAAACTATAATAAAAAAAATTCTTTTTAATTTTCATCAGTAAAATTTATTTTTGTATGGTATAAAACTTTTTTAATTAATACTAAAAGTTTATTTGGTTTTCAACTAAAAAACTGCTAAACCTTTAAAAGTCATTATTAGTTTTTTAAATGGGTGAGACATGTGGCCCAACTTAGTGTCATCCAATTTATCCTATTGCCAAACTAGAAGTTAAAGTTGTGGATATATTTCTTGATTGCTACATGGCTATAAAGCTGTTGGTGATAATATGAATTGAGATGTACATTCAATTTAGTATATTAAGAAATAGGTAGCTAGTAGTAGTTAGATATGGTGTTATTTTGAGAAAAAGTGAGTGTAATACTGATGCAAATAATATTAAGGTTATTTTAATTGTATTTTATTTTTTAGTTTATCTCTTCAGGAATAGGAGAGATGCGTAGGGATATTTGTGGGCATTGAGTTTGTGTGTGAGTTGATATATATGGATTTAGGTTAATTAGTTATTGATTGATTTGGATTAGTTAATTTGAAATATAATTAGATAAGGTTAAATTAGGGGAGCTAGTTTAGGAATAAAAATAAGATAAGATTAAGTATAGAGAGAGTTTATCCACATCAACAATAATCAAAATTGGGGAGAATTTTGGGCAAAAAGTGGGATAGAAATGAGCCTAATTTTTCGCACATGATTTGAAGAGAGAAAAAATAGGGAAGAAAAGATAAAATAGGAAAAGTGTCAAGAGAGTTTTTTTTGTTAATGTTTATCTTAATTTTTATTCTATTTTAAGGGAGGTTTCCCTTCATTGTAAGAGAGCTAGATGAGTTAATAAAATTTGGCCTCGTGAAGAGATTATTGTGGGTAGATTCCTTCTCTCACTTTGAGAGAGGGTATATTCGCTCAATCTTGGGATGAATTCCCTTGCAAACCTTGAAAGAGGGTACTTTTTCTCAACTTTATATTTTTATTTTTTTTTTGTTTTATTTTCTCTTTTTACATCAAATACACAATGGTACCTATCTAAATGACACATACCTATCTAAATGAAAAGTATACAGGAAATCTACAAAGATAAAATTTTTACATATCTCAAAAAATATATTCGAAATAATACATATCTTTTAGCACATGAAACAACTAACAAACAAAATTAAATTACTTCCAAATGATTGAGTTAATAAAACAAAGAAACAAAATCTACCACGACAATTTATTCATCAAATGATCCAAGTGTACTATATAGAGCATTACAGCCATTGTCATTGAAAGTTCAAAGCGCTAAATAACAAAAGTCATTCTTACATCAGCCAATTGTTTTAATTTAATTTCTGTTTTTGTGAAATGCATAGAAAATCCTACATTGAGCAATCAAACTATTCGAAATTAGCCCTTTTGAGTTCGTGGTCTGTTTGGATAGCAGTCATGGAAAATGACTTTGTGGAACTGGATTACGTTTTGGATATAATTTGAGGTCAAATACATGGAGAAGAAAATTTCTTAATTCTGTAATCATTGAATTATTCTTTTATGTTTTGGTAAGATTATCTAATTGTGGAATTGGATTAGGTTTTGGATATATTTTGAGCTCAGATACATTGAGAAGAAGATTTCCTAATTCTTCAATAATTGAACTATTCTTCCATGTTCTAGTAAGACCCCATAATCGTGGAACTGGATTAGGTTTTGTCTTCCTTTTATGTCGATTAATTATGTCCCTTATCTCTCTTTCACATACAAATATTATGTATACGTCTTATATTCCTCACCACTCCATTTATTATGCATAGAGCAAGCAAAAGCGCTATATCTTCCTTAAAATTTCATTTACAAAGCTTTACACCAAATCTCAAATGGAGTCCATTTTTCCTAATCATTGTCCAAAGCTGTGTACCGATTTCTTGTAGGTTACATGGCATCCAAACCATGTGGTGATATATATTTTATAACCAAAATAAAATTTATAATTTTGAGAACTATTTTTGTTTTAAGCTGGAATTAGAGTTTTTATTTATACAACAAATTTTAATGTGTCTCACCTTTTGAGAAAATAGCTTTATATACAAAATTATATATATATATATTTTTTAAGTTTGTGAGTAAAATTTATTTTTGTTTGGTATAAAACCATTTTAATCAATACTTAAAAATTATTTGGTTTTCAATTAAAAAAATGCTAAAACTTTAAAAATCATTATTAGTTTTTGAAATGGGTGAGAAATGTGACACAATTTCCTCCTACAACATCTATTGTCATGGATATGGATTCATTTAATGTCATACATGTTTGCGTACAATGATATTATTCATACTTTGTAAGACTAGGCAGTACGTGTTTATTAAAATATATAACTTCTCACCCCCAACCTAGTATCATGCAGCTTGTTTTATTACCAAACCAAAAGTTGAAGCTGCGAAGATATTTCTTGATTGCCACGTAGCTACAAAGCTATTAGTGTTTTCTTGTGCAATTGAATCCTTGGAGTGGATAACTAATTTTTATCATTATTTGAGAAAGGCTGTATGCGACTTGTGAAAAGTTTCTATATTTCCATAGACTCCCTATCCAGCAGTCTAATTTAGATCTAGTGAGCGACTAGCCATTTGATCTATATATCTGACGCCTCAGAGCATTTAATTTTTTGTTTTTTTACAAATTATATGAATGTGAAATTTAGTACGTACCACAATCTCAATGGGGCGCACCTAAAAAGACATTAGTAGGAGAATATTTTTGGTAACATACAATAACCAAAGGAAAAGTTATATAACCTTATAATATAGAACTACGGATGCACCTAAAAAATCCATAGGAAAAGGTAGTTTTAATGTTGAAAAACCCTTTGATTAATCATTTCGACTTCAAGATGTATGACTATGAAAAATAAATAGATTTTAAGCCTCATAAATAGTGCATTTTACAACATATTATCTACATCGTCGATTTTCAAGATTTTCATATGTTTATAGATCTACTTGATTTTAACCATTTTTGAAATTTAAAATTTTTATAATTAGTTATAAAAATGAAATTTGAGATAATCCTAAGAACATTTTACATCAAAATTATATATCATGATAAAATTTGAAGGTGCACCTTACTTCTACAGCTACGGACACATTCGTATTCCAACTACACCCATAACCAAAAGGAAAAAGTTTATATAAGGATGCCACCTTATAATGTTGTAGAACTACGGATGCCCCTAAAAAATCCATCGGAAAAGTTAGTTTTAATGTTAAAAAACCCTTTGATTGATCATCTCGACATTATGATGTATGATCATGAACAATAAAAAGATTTTAAGCCTCATAAATAGTGCATTTTACAACATAATATCTACACCGTCTATTTTCAAGATTTTCATATGTTTATAAATCTATTTAATTTTAACCATTTTTGAAATTTAAAATTTTATAATTAGATATAAAAATGAATTTTGAGATAATCTTAAGAACATTTTACATCAAAATTATATACCATGATAAATTTTGAATGTGCTCTTTACCTCTAGAGCTATAGATGCATCCGTATTCCAACTACACCCATAACCAAAAGGAAAAAGTTTATGTAAGGATGCTACCTTATAATGTAGAACTACAAATGTCCCTCAAAAATCCATTGGAAAAAGTAGTTTTAATGTTGAAAAACCCTTTGATTGATCATCTCGACATCGATATGTATGACCATGAAAAATAAAAAGATTTTAAGTCTTAGAAATAATACCTTTTACAATATATTATCTACATCGTCCATTTTCAAGATTTTCATATGTTTATAGATCTACTTGATTTTAAACATTTTTGAAATTAAAAATTTTATAATTAAATATAAAAATAAATTTTAAGATAATCCTAAAATATTTTATACCAAAATTATATACCGTGATATCATTTGAAGGTGCACTCTACTTCTACACCTATGGATGCATCCGTATGCACGCAGGAACCCAACCAAAACAAATGCCTCTAAAACTTTATGGGGTATTTAACGCTACTTTTGATATTTATGGGAAAAGAAGGGGTTTTACCAAGTTTGCCCAAACTATTAGATGTCCACAGGAGCGCCAGTGAGTTCTGCTTTTCCTCTTCATCAAGCAAACCCTAGGAAACACAGGAAAACCGCCATTAACTTCTTGGAAAGCCGCTTGTGGTGATCTGGGCAGCTAGATCCAACATCAAAACCGCCTTTGAAAACCGGGAGGATGAGTGAATCAGATGAAGCAGCTCGTCGAATGCATGCGGTGAATGAGCATAGAAAAAAACTTCTTCAGCATAAGGAGTTGGAGTCCAGAGTACGAGGAGGTAACTTTTTTTTTGAGATTTATTCTGTTTTTATTGAAATTATCAATCAATACCCGAAATTGAATGATTTACTTTTCTTTTTTGATCGTTTTGTTTGATTTCGATTTTAGTAAGAAGAGTGTGTTTTTCAGCTTGCTTTATTCGACGATTTTATGTTAGGAGATATTGGATTGAAGATTAGAGTTGTTAAAATTCCGTTATTCTATGTAGTTATCAATTTCTCATTTAGCAGCTTATCGTTTTTCATTTTATTTTAATGGGGTTTATGAAGCTAGGGTTCGGAGTAGAGTAATTGAGTTTCCCTGACGTGAAAATATTTTAGTTGGTTGTTGCAGATTGTAATATTGAATGGAGCATTTTAGTTTAGCATGTTGAAAGTGAGAATTGTACAACTACAGCATTTTCTTGTGATAAAATGTTCACAATTGTATAATTGTAGGATTTTTGTGCAAGTTAGGCGGTTAATGAATTTAGAGATGCAAATTTTGTCTACTAGGTTATGTTGATGATCTTTAACTTTCCAGCTGAATGGGGGCATTGATGGAGTATCTCAAGGGTTGAACTTACAGGGTTTCATTCTTGCCTTTTCAGGGTTTACTGATTGTATTTTGAACCTTACTGGACACCAAACCAGTGATACTCGCATTCTGCTCGGAACATCAACTTTTCTATTTAAGTGATAGATGTTGGTTTATTGAATTCCTCATGTCACTAATTTAAACTGATTTATACATTATATTACCGATTTGTCTGCTGCTATATGCAATATATAAGACAAGTGTGTGTTGATTTACACATATATGAGACAAGTGGGCTATGCGGTCTTGACTACTCCAAAGTCTGAATAACCAGTTTATGAGGATAAGATTCGTGTCTAGTTCTCTCATCCTTTCCAATTAGGAAACCTCACTGAACTAATCAATGGCTCCAATTATATTGGTTTAATGAAATGGGGACGTGTAATCTCTCTAAACTCTATGGGACATTCTCCTCGCTAAATAAATCTTTCTCTCCTTGAAGGATCTCATTTATCGTCTACACCAGTAGCAAATTGCAAAATAACAAGTTATTTCTGTTGTGAATGATCGTTAGAACAGATACTGTCACAACAAAAAGGAAATACTTTTATTTATCTCTTACTATACAAAATGGAAGTACTTTTGTTGAAATTGATTATAAAATCCTATATGGAAAATACAATAAAATATGAAAATTTAAATTGGATATAAAAAAGCTATAGGAAACAATGAATTAAATAGAAAAAGTAATAAAAATGATATAACATCTTTTAATTGAAACTAAATATAAAAATTTCCCTATTTGTTAGAGCAGTAAGCAATGCACTTCCCATTAACTTGCATGCTACAATAAGATATATATCTCAAAATGTAATATAATACTCGTAAAGAAAGCTTCACTAAACGTGGAAGGCCCATAAGTTTGATGTCAATTTCTAATACTTCAAGGGACTCCATAATAAATTACTTAAAATATGATAGAAATCTAACAAAATCCAACAAACATCTATCTTTTTCATTTTAAGGACACTTATGTGTAGATCTAAAAATGTTAAAGTCCCTCGTTCCTTAGAAAAGCATGGCTCTACTGAATAAACTCTTTCTAAGAATGCTTGGGTACTTTGAAAGTAGTTAGGGCGCTGACTTGTGAGTACTCTGCTCTCTTTTTTTTTTAATTGGTAATTATATGTCATTAAACAAAATTGATATAAAAGTATTTCTCGAACTCATTTACAGAAATCTAGCCTATTACTGTAGACTCTAATCAAGTAATATTGGAAAACGAAAAGAAATTTACTACTAACTCTTGTTTGGTCATGCCTTCCCGAGCATATGCATCTTATCAATTTTATATGCATTTTCTCTACTCTTAGGGTTTTGTGAATTTGGGAGCATTTGAGGAAGGATATCGGCATTTATAGGGTTTTCTCATGGTTTTATGAATTGAAAAATCTAATGCTTGGTAGTGAATTGGAGCTTTTTACTTAAATTTAGTCTCTTGTAACTCGGAATCTGGTTGTTTGGGTCATTTTGATGCTTGTGATTTATGAAATTTGTTAAAAAAAACTTGATATATAGGGTTTTCTTTAGGTATTGTGCATCACGTAGTCAAATTGAGAGTTCTTGCCAAGAGGTTATTACTTATTATTTTCCGTAGTCAGGGAAGGAATGATGGTTTTTAAGGGGTTTTTTTGTTTGGGAAGGAATTGAATGAGGTTAATTTTGGGGGATCTTGAGGTTTTTGTGATTACAGGGATGCATTTGCTGAGGGGTTTAGGCTTTTTGAGGTTTTTGTGCACTTATTATACGGGGAAGGTTGTCAATGCAAGACCATGTGGTTGTCGTGGCTTTCTTTATCTGTTTTAAATAGATTTATGATAAGTGTTGGGTGGCAAATTTTTTATTATAGGGTTTGCTTGAGGGTTTTAGAAATTAAATAGAGCAGTAGATAAAAGACCTCTAAATTTCTATTTATTTTATTGAGGGTTCCTAAAACTGATGGATTTTGTAATCTATATGATATTAGGGGTTCTCTTGTGGGCTTTTACGAAGTGAGGAAGTGAGAAATCATGGATGTTTTTTAAAGCATCAATTTTTGTATCTTTGTTGACACCTCATGTACTGTAAGTTCACGAGAACAGTTTTGACTTTCTTGTCATGTATTCCACACAATGGGTGATGCTGAAGATGCCTGCTACCATCCTCCAAGATAGTTCTTTGTGTCTCTTCCATACTCCATAAGTTGTGTCCGCTTGCAAATTCTTGATGGATCTGAAGGAAGTGGAGTAATAGGAACTTTAGAGAGCTCACTGTGTGCCATGTGGAGGTCAAAGAAGGTTGGTGACTCTTTTCATCTCACTTGAAGTTGCAAGGAGAGAGTTGGGCTCTTGGGGGTTATAAGGATGGAGGATTATGATTTTGGATGGATGATGGTTGTACTCAGTTGGCCATGTTTTGAGGACATTGGATGCAATTTCAAGCCATGGATGGCATCTATGAAGTTGAGTTTGACGGCAACTGCTTTTCTATCACAGTTTGTCAAGAGTGGAAAATCTCTTTAATGACATAAAAAATTGTACTTTATACGTGGAGGACTAATGTACTTTGGAAGTGGAAGACTATTTTCTTAGTCCTTTGCTGGTCAAGTGGACGTTTATGTCTTTACTAAGATGTAGGCGAGAGCTTCTTGCCTGAGGCTACTAAGACTTAGGTGAGACTTTCGACTGAGGCTAATGCCTAAGGGTTCTCGCTGCTGAGTTAGCACTTTATTTCTCTTGATAATGAAGAAATGTTCTCACACACTTTCTGGGCATTATTAGCTGGAAGCCGTTCACTTTGTTATCAGATGTGTCTGGCATGAACCTCTGGTCCCTTTGAGAAGTACAGATGTACTAGAGGGAAATTTTTAAGATAAACAAGCTTTTGCTTGTGTTCTTTCATCTCGTGCGGAGAGGTTAGGAAGACTGTTGGCTCTCGGCCTATTGATGGGTGTTTTAAGCAGGGCTGAGGTTTGGGGATCTCAGCCACACTTCTCATGAACATTTATTTATTTTGATAGGCAGAGTAATCATGAATAAAAATATTTATATTTTCCTTAATTATATCTGTGATCTTGCTCAATATTTTTCTCCAGGGAGCCTGGTGGGAAATGTGGCCTTCTGATTGTTTGATTTTGAGTCTACCCTTTCATGCTACTTATTTTAACTCCAGAATTCGAGGCATCCAGTTCCTAGTCTGGTTTTTATTCTATAAAAAGTAGTTCACCAGTGGTCACTGAACACGACCTTCTATTGCATGAAGTTGTGAACCTATCTTTTGGCAAAACTTACCTGGTGATTTGCTCTTACTCTGCCCACTGGCCATTACCTAGTGTCTGTATAAGAGGCTACATGCATATTGGAGGGTGAATGGGTATGGAGAATCTTTTGTTGTTCTTTTAGTGCATCGTCTTTTAGCGAGTTATACTTTTGTTTCTAAGTAAAATGTGTTTGCATTGAAAATGTTTCAGTAAGAGAGAACCTGAAAGCTGCAAAGAAGGAGTTTGCCAAAACAGAAGATGATTTGAAGTCTCTTCAGAGTGTGGGACAGATTATTGGAGAAGTTCTTAGACCTCTTGACAATGAGCGTTGTAAGTTTTATGTACCTTTGTCTTTCCCTTCTTCTCTGTGACCTAGTTTGATCAGGTTATTATCAAGTCCCTCTTATTTCTTTTCAAATTTTATGAATCTGGTTTAGTAATGCAATTTGGTTAATTTGGATAGTGTGCCTATGAGATGTTTGTTACCATTTTCAAAACATGGTGCTCAAAGTGATTTGCTTCATTTAGTAACTTTTCTATCAAAATAGAACTGATGTACAATCACAGTTAACCTCTAATATTATTGTGATGCCACATGTACCTTGAAAAAAAGCATTAAGAAGGAAAGAAACAAATCAAGCAGTAGACAACAGAGGGTGTCTGAGCATTTGGTACTTTATGGCCTAATTTTAATTTTGTGTCTGAGATTTACCATTTGTATGTTTTTTCTGAGGAGTATAAGTTCATCTTCAAAAACAGGAAATAAAAAAGAAAAAGTGAAGTACAAAAAAATAAGAAGAAGAAGATTTTGATACTGATAAGAACCCTACTCGCTTCCTTATTCCCTCTCTGTCAGATCCCACTGAGAGCAGTTTCAGTGATTAGATGGGGTTTGAGCATGTGCATTTGCCCACATGCGCATACAGAATTAAATACTGATATAATTGATGGCCTGTGAATCTTGTGTTTATCTGTGAGGACACATACAAAGACTGAGGGATGGAAGGAAGCTTTTCTTATTCTATCACTGTTGTATAATACTGTATGCTTAGAAAACTAGAATTCTACATCTCTAATGTTACGCTTATTATTAGTGATTGTGAAAGCTAGTAGTGGTCCGAGGTATGTTGTGGGTTGCCGGAGCAAAGTTGATAAGGAAAAGTTAACTGCGGGGACTCGAGTTGTTCTTGATATGACAACTCTTACAATTATGCGGGCTCTTCCACGTGAGGTGATTGTCCTGTCTTTGTTATCATTTTCCTTTCTTCTTTTAATTGTCCTTTTGGGATGCTTTCTCTTTGTTCATTTCAAGACATAAACCAGCATGTGGTACATTTACTTCATTATGAAAGAATTTCAATTTGCTCATACTAAGCAATAAAGAGTGCTGGTGAAGCTGATGATCAAACTGCAATAATTGAATTTCAGGTGGACCCAGTGGTGTATAACATGCTCCATGAGGACCCTGGGAATATTAGCTACTCTGCAGTGGGTGGATTGTCTGATCAAATCCGGGAGCTTAGAGAGTCTATCGAGCTTCCTCTAATGAACCCTGAACTCTTTATCAGAGTGGGGATTAAACCCCCAAAGGTAATTGAGAACTTAAGGCCCTATTTGATATTCATCATGAAAAAAGTCTTTCTTGAAATTTCAAGAAAAAAAATCTGAAAGAGAAATACTCCCAACCCTTGTTGAAATTGACATGAATTTCCCACCAATTGCAAGCTTACATAACTTGAGCCTGCTAGATCACTCAGTTGAAAAGAATTGCACTGGTCAACATGTGGGTGGGAAGGGTACTTCCAACCAATGTTCAAAAATTCGGCCTCCCAGCTACCTAAGCGGCACTCCTAGGCGCCAATTTACACGGGGCACCTGGGTGGCCTGCGTCTGGGCAGCCGCCTAGGTGCTACAGTCCTTGAGGCAGGTTGCTGAGGTCGGAAAAATGCCTTCAGCTAGGGTCAAAATTATTCATTCCCCCCCCCTAAAAAGGGGGGAAAAGAGTTTTGGGGGACATTCTAAACCATAGTTGTTGGAAATGCCGGGGAACCCGAATTGTTTCAGGAACCGAAATTGTGCTTGCCCAGAAGTTTCCCATTGTAGGAATCGTTGTCCGTACAATAGGAATCGCTGGGAACGAGATTCCCATCCCCCTGGGTTTGACACTCCAAGTGTCAAGTTTCATGAATATGCGGAATTGAGTTTCCGTCATCTATGGAATCGAGTTTTTGACATATGCGGAATCAAGTTTCCGACATATGCGGAATCAAGTTTCCATCATTTATGGAATCGTGATTCTAACATATTTGGATTCGAGTTTCCATCATCTATGGAGTTATGTTTCTAACATATTTGGAATTAAGTTTCTTAAGTATATGGATAAGTGATCCATGCTGGTTTGAGATCGAGAATTACAATAGCAGAATCGAGTTTCCGACATCACTTGATTCGAGTTTTTGACATATGTGGTACATAGATATGTTGCTGTGTAGAATCGTCAGTCCATGTGTGTTGCTTTATATGTTATTAAATGATTTGAATATCTTACAGGCATTTAAATTAGAGGCGAATAAATAAAATTAGCATTATTAATAACCACTTGACATTCGGTATTTCAATACTGAGCAATGTTGCGAGGCTATACATGGTGTAAGATCACATAAACAGTCTTTTCAGATAACATATGAGCAAGATTAAGAAACCAAGGTAGTTTACATCACCGCAAATATAAGAAACATTATCTTATGGCCATTTAAATAATTTCACATAACATATGAGCAAGATTAAGAAACCAAAGCAGTTTACATCACCGCAAATATAAGGAACATTATTCTATAGGCATTTAAATCAGGAAAAAAAAAAGTAAAAATAACATTACTAATAACCATTTTGCAAGCGGTAGTATAGTACTAAGCAATGTTGATAGGTGAGACGTGGTGCAAGTTCACTTAAGCAATTCACATAACTATGAGTAAGAAACGATAGCAGTTTACATTAACGCGAATATAAGAAACATAATAAAGATAACTAAAAAAGCAACACAATCTCATTAAATTCCTTCTAAATACATGCCTTATAAATAATAATACCCCCTTCTAGTATACATGCTGCCTAATGCTATCGTTTGGGACCTTAAAGCATGATATCCACTAGAAAATAAAACATTACTTTTGTGGTTATTATTTACAAGAAACCAATGTTTTAGACGGTGTAGATGATTCAAAACCTTGACGAAATGAGTTCCATTACTTGTAGAATCGTGTATCATTTAACATGGAATCAAAATTTAAACCTTGCTAGAAGCCAAATTCAATCTATTAGGGAGCATCTAACTACAATTAGGGGGTTCAAGTTTCTCTAAATCAGTTGGATCGAGATTCCGAAATTAAGGAATCGAGATTCTAAAACTAAGGAAACGAGTTTCCTTGGTTTCGAAAAATATTTTTAAAAGAAGTGTTGAATCAAGATTCCGAAATTAAGGAATCGAGTTTCCTTGGTTCTGAAAATAGCTTTCCACATTTGTGAGGAATCAAGATTCTGAAATTAAGGAATCGAGTTTCCTATATTGCAAAAAAAAAGGCTTCCACCTAGGTACGGAATTGAGATTCTGAAATAAAAGAATCGAGTTTCATTGGTTCAAAAAAAGGGTTTCCGTGGAGTTTCCTTAATGGAAACGTGGAAACGGGTTTCGGAACTGGAATCGTGGGGGCCGAGGAGAGATTCTGGTAACTATGTTCTACACCCCCAAAACGAAATATGTGCCATCTAGAGAGACAAAAACTCCCGAAAAACCTCTATTTTATGATTTATTGAAAATCGATAAATTTTTTATTTTTTCGATTTCTTCCCTAAACAAAGGCAATAGTTCGTGGGTGTTTTTGGAGCTTGTATTACTCGATTTTGAGGACTTATGGCTATCGAATAGACGAGGTTTGGGTTGACATCATTTTGATTTTGATTATTTTTAGAGCATTACCATTGTGATATTTGAATAAGGGTATTATGTTTTGAATCGTTTGATATTTCTTTTTTAGTCTTTTTTTTCTTTTATGATATATTTACATTTTTGAAGTTGAAAGATAAATTTTTTTGTAATTAATTGATTATTAACTCATTTGGATGATGAATTGGTCCTATATCGAATTATTTTAAGAATAATTGGTTCTTATTTTGTAGAATGTGTGATGTTTTGATATTCTATTAGTTTTTTTAACGTTTTTGATATTTTTACATATTTGTAGATGGAACATTTACTGATTTGAACTTATATTTTGTGAATAGTCATAAACTTTGGATGAAATTGATATTTTGTGAATATTTGATATCCAAAACCAGATCTTATGGATATGAATTAATTAATAATAATTAAAATGTAATAGTCCACCTGTCTCCTGGGAGCCACCCTAGGTAGGCGGTGGCCCCCAAAACGCCTAGCAGGTGCCTACGCCTTTTTGAACACTGATCCCAACCCATCTTGAAATTGACATAAATGTCCCACCAATCACAAGCTTACATAACCAAGCCTGCAATATATCTCAATAGAAAGGAATTCCACTGTCAACATTTGGGTGGCGAGGGAGGGAGGGAGGGCTCTCTCTCTCTCTCTCTCTCTCTCTCCTTCCCCCTCCTGCCCCAAAAAAAAATGCAGACATGCATTTGATATTATTAATCATCTCTTCTTAATTTCAGGGTGTTCTTCTTTACGGCCCCCCTGGAACCGGCAAAACACTTCTGGCTAGGGCTATTGCCAGCAACATTGATGCAAATTTCCTGAAGGTGTGATTTCTTACTTGGAGAAGACACTTTTTTTTTTAGCTCCAGTTGAGCTCAGAGAATGCCTGATACTGTTTATATTTGTCTGTTATGTACCTTTGATGAATCAGATATTTTGCAGGTTGTTTCAAGTGCCATTATTGACAAATACATCGGTGAAAGTGCTCGGTTGATACGTGAGATGTTTGGGTATGCGCGTGATCATCAAGTAAGATCTCAATGCTTGTTATTTTTTTTCTGCTCTTGAAATTTCCCTGTATCGATTGTCAGAAAGCAGCAACACGTCAGAACCTAAAAAGTCAGAATGTAAATTTTGGATTATATTTCAAAACTGAAAAGAACATCTAAATCATTTTTTTTTTTCTGGTTTATAGTTTGACTGAATTTCTCAGTTCATATATTTTGTTCTAATGTACATTTCTTCCTGTGAAATTGATGTAGTGCTGCTCATCAATTTGCCAAGCATTTCATAGATTTTTTTTATTCTACCTTTGACCAATGTTATAGAAAGCGGGATGCGGCCCAATACGTGGCCAGGGGGCGGTTGGCTGCCTATCGCGATGCGGGCACCTCTTTAGGCACCCTACACATGCATATATGCATGTATGCAGTCCAAAGTCCAAACATGCAGATATACACATACATGTAAAGGAAAAGTTTATATAAGGTTGATCCATGCCTTCTGATGCAAGTGGACCCCTCTTGTCACAATCATTAAGATGCTTCTTTAGCATCTGATAAAATTGGACGGAGACTAAATCATTGAGTTTCTTTTTTGCTCAAGCCTGTTCGTTTTCTTTGTATGCACCTGTGAGAAATGCAAGAGATGGTTTTAGAGAACTTGAGTAGTGGTATAAATCTGTAATAGTCTCCTAATAAAGTTGTACAACAACATACTCGTATAAAAAAGTATGAGCTACATGAACTTATATTCTTGTAATTTGTATATGCTACATGGACTTATATTCTTGTAGTTTATATACATACAATCAATGGATCATAATTTTAATTTACAACATATAAAATATTAACTTCGTAATACATTGATAATAATGTGAAATATTATGCTCTATGCAAAATGCAAATTACTAATGTACTATCTTGAATGAACTTCAATGCACAACTAGATGAGTTAGGGGTCTAGTTCAATATCTGGCTGGCCATTTTCTAAGTTACTAAGTTGGGAGCACTACTCCCATGTTTGGCTCCATTGTTGGCTTGCAATTACATTAGAACATTGTTTAGAATTTTAAAATTGTAAGTCAAAGTTTGTAATTTATAAGGTGTAACTAATAAGAAATCAAGTGTACAATAACTATAACATCACTTGAGACTATGCAAGTTGAAATTTAAAAAACAATATTATTCAAATTAGATTGATCACATGGATTGGATTTTGGTCCTCTTATCTCACCACGATTTACTTTCCAAATGATTTTAATGTAAAATGTATATAAACTCAAATCTTCAGCAAGTATCTTATCTTGGGTATACTTAGTAGGAATCCGCCTCTCAAGGTTTTCATTAAAGCCATCCGTAATTGCATGCTTCCACTCAATATCCTCATCTGCATATGAGAATTATGGGTTTAACACATACACACACACATATATATGTATGCATGCATGCATGTGTATGTGTGTGTGCATGCGTGCGTGCTCATGTAACGTTGTATGTAACTATGTATGCATGCATGAAGAGTAGTAAGATCACGCCTATGATGCTCCTAGATTAGGGACTTGTTGGTACTGATGATCCCTTGATCCCGCACTTGCTTCCGCTTCCAATGATTATGGTTGGGTTTTCCTTCTTATACTTGTGTTCAAATGTTACTTTTTTTTTTTTTCTGTTCTCTATTGCTGCCTCAGGGTCCAGGGAGAAAGGACAAACATTGGTCCCTTCTTAAGCCAATTCCTCTCTTGGAATTTCGAGAGGAATCCACTTCTTTCTCCCCTTCATTTTTATCTTCTTCGTTATCACCAAATGTATTCACTCCAGGCTTCTACTCTGCTATGCTTCCCTCCCTTGCCACCTTTACATTTTAAATGACATCCAAATATTCAGGCATCTCCTTCTTAATATCCTCTGGGACTTCCTTAATGAGGCAGCATCCCCCCTTCTACTGGCAAGGTGTTTTGAAAATATATTGAGCCGCTGTTTATTTCTTGGTTACACCGAATTTTCTTTGACCATTTTTGTTTTGGTGGCATCCATATTTGCGATCTGGATTCATATTCATACCAGAACTCAAAGAAGACATTTGAAAGAATCAAAGTCTCAAATATTTGACTAAACTTGGTTGCCCGATCTTCGATCCTCGATGTTTTAGATGAATTTCAAGCTCAAAGTCACCCACAATCCTCTTATAACTTCTCATGATAGTTCATAATGAATCTTATCCCAAAACAATAGATTTGAGAAGACTACTCAAGCTTCTTGAATTTTTCGATCTCAAAAAACAAAAAAAAAAAAGGAAGAAAAATTACTAATTTTTTGGTGTTTCCAATCTCAAAAGGCCCCTCTTTTTTTGTTGGGTTGGGGTGTTTTAGAATACCTTGAACATCAAAGTGGCCACCTAGGAGGCCCCCTTCGGCCAAGGCAGGGAACTTAGGCGCAAGCCTCTCTCCATGAAGTGCGGCGTGGGCTTCTTTTTGCATCATATCCTGTAACATATATTTTTTATGCGAATTAAAATGTTAGTGTTTGGTTTTTGAGAGTGGATCATGTGTTGGTAGATGTATGGACTGACTTGCAGTTCCTGTCATTCCAACAAGTTGAAAATGCATATTTTTTTTTTGGCCCTACTTGGCTGTCATGATGGTCATGTACCTGCAAATGAATGCGTCATCCTTGTGTATTTCTGTAAGAACATATGTAAGAACATAAAATGTTGATGTCATAGTCATTGTTATGCTTATATCCATCATTTTGTCAAAGTTGAAATAACAAAAGCAAATACCTTTTTGTTAGTTGTTGGGCAGAGTGAGGGAGAGGGAGAGAGAGAGGTTTGAAAATGAAGAATTCTCTAATTGTGTGTGTCAGTGTGTGTAATTGTGTGTATCTGATAGATCCTTTAAAAAACCAGGACTGCTCTACATGTCATCTTCTATTTGCATACTCTCTGTGGCTTATGAGCAACAGTCTTCTAAGGGTTTGTTTCTGCCTTTCAGCCTTGCATCATCTTCATGGATGAAATTGATGCCATTGGTGGACGTCGTTTCAGTGAGGGCACAAGTGCAGACCGTGAGATACAAAGAACATTGATGGAGTTACTCAATCAGCTCGATGGCTTTGATCAACTTGGAAAGGTAGATTTCATTACAATTGGCGCAAGGTACTAATATAAGTCATTCGTACATCTAGTTGTCAAAAAATTATTTCCTTGAAGGGAAAACAATAAATGAATCATTGCAAAGGAAAAAAAAAGAAGCACCAAAAGGTTCTATCAAAATATAAAAAATTTGAAAAGAAAATGAAAACCAAAATCTAGGAATTCAGTTTAGTTTTTACCTTCTGTTTCCTTTCTGTTTCACTTGGTATTTCATTTTGGTTGTCTATAATTCATGCAAACTGGACATACCCATCCCCTACTTGTTATTAGTTACCCACCAATTAGTCCCTTTTCATTTGCTTGAACACTAAATTGTGTTTTTTTGGGGGAAATTTTTGACAATATATTACCATATTAATAGTTACAAAGACCTCACAAGGCTGTCCACATGTATGGTGCTCAACAAACCAAAATAAATTATACATAAATTATACATATAATTATACATAAATTATACATAAATTTGGAATTCGGAATTCGGAATTCGGAGTGCAGGCTTCCCACATATATGCAAACTGAATTCGGAATCTTATATACATAAATTGTTTGTGTATTTCTTGATATTTGGCATTAGATTGTCATTTCTCACGGATGACAATCGCAACATAAACATGGGAATGAGCTTGCTCACAGCTTTTGCAATGTTCAGGTCAGGTGGAGCCTCAAGTTAGGTTTTGAATTTCTATTTGAAATTGGCATAAACATCTTTTATTCAATAGAGATTAAATGTAGAAAATATAGGAAGTGCTACATTTTTTTATTATTATTGAAAAAAATTAAGGTAATCCAGATAATATGAGAGGTCATCTTTATCAAACATCTGCAAAAAACTTTACGTAGGACTCTACTATGTAAAATTGAATATTTTGCACCCTTATTTTGTATTAGAGAAACAATCTTTTCATATTACCAGCATAATTAAAAATTCAAAAATTAAGAGTCATTTCTTACTTGAAAATAAATTTTTTTAAGAAAAGCCAGGGCTTAAAATATCTTAATTGAATATATTAAAAGGAAACCTTCTTTGTTAGGACCTTTATGAGGAAACATTTGTATGGGGAGAGAAATATATGCAAAGAACGCATATTATTAGGAATCTAATGGATAAGGAGAGATTCCTACATATAAGGAAAGAGAGATGATGTACAAAGTTGTTTTTAAATCAAATACAAGAGAGATGATATTTGTGTGATGATGACACAGGGATTAAATCCGTGTGAGATTAGTATATGTACTAAAGATTAAAGCATATATATCTTTGTGCTTGATTTTGGCAGCTTTCTGGATGCTTGACATTTTTTTTGGGGTTTTTCCTGTATAAATAATTTATGACTCTATTAAATGACTAGCTCATGTTGTTCTTACTTAAAAAGTATTAAGAAATATCATTGCTTAGTTTGATCATTATAAAGGAGGAAAGATGATTGCTGATTTTGATTATGATGATTATGGGACAAGGTTAAAATGATCATGGCTACAAATCGACCTGATGTTCTGGATCCTGCCCTTCTTCGTCCTGGGCGACTGGATAGGAAGATAGAAATCCCATTACCAAATGAACAGGCTAGAATGGAGATCCTTAAGATCCATTCAGCTGGAATAGCTAAACATGGGGAGATTGACTATGAAGCTGTCGTGAAACTTGCAGAGGTGAGTCCCTTCTTTGGATAATGAACTGTTGTTATAAGTCAGTTATTTCTGACGTTCTAACTAATATAAAAAGGAAAAAATTAGGTGCATTAGCTGATACACCTATTCAAAAGCAGTCTCCTTCAAAATCAATCTTAGAAATGGTTTTTGGACCTAATAATCTTGAACAGTGTTCAAAAAGGCGGGACGCAGCCAGGGGTCCTGACTGCCTCAATGGCTCAGTGGCCACCTAGGCGGCCCTAAGGTCTCAGGGGTTGGAGGGGGTGGAGGAGGGGTGGGGGGCGAGGCCCAGCATGAAACACTTCGCGGTCATCTGTTTCTCTTATCTTATATGTTAAGAGTGATAGAGAGAGAAAGCATATGCATCTGTGTGTGTAGGGGAAAGAGGCTCCATTGAACACTTTGGGGGCATTTCTTCTCTGTATGTGGGGGGCGAGAGAGAGAGAGAGAGAGAGAGAATGGCCTTGTGGATCCATGTGTGTGTATGAAAGAGGCTTCGCATCAAACATTTGGTGGTTGTCTTTGTTTATTGCTTCCTATATGTGGGGAGAGTACATGGGCCTGTGGCAAGGAAGAGAAGGGCCTTGACCGGTTTTATGGTGTCAATGGGAACCCACCTTGGTCGCTCAGGCTTCCACCATGAGCCTGCCTAGGTGGACGCCTAGGAACATGTCTGTCCATGGCGCACACCTAGGCCAATATTAGGTATTTTTTTCCTTGTCACCTTGGTGACTGGAGTTTTGAACCTGGATCTTGACCACCACGATAGTGAATTTGAAAAGGAAAACTAGATTTTGAGCCTCAAATAATAGACTATTTTAAGCTTGTTTTTGAACTATTCATCCCCATCCATTTTAATTATTCTTTATCAGATTTGTGCTATTTTTTGAGCTGCAAAATCATGAATCTATAGTGGAAATGGTCCTAGAGGGGCTTAAGAGCCCTTTCAAATCGTAAATCCATTTCTAAGATGGATTTTTGGGAGGAGCCACAATGTATAGGACCTCATTTGAACTTTTCCTAAAAGAATAAGGTTGGTAGTCTCAGCCATATTTTACTTCCCCCCACCCTCCAAAAAAGAACACATGGTGGCAGACTAGTCGGTGGTTAATTTTGTGATTCTCACGCTTGCTGTGAGTGGAAATTGCAAGACATGGGTGAGGAAAACAATTCCTTAGGATTTTAAGTGTTAGTTCTCTGTGACAGTAAACAAACAGAAAAAAGAAACTGCAGGGAGTAGTTTATCAGAACATCTGCATCTCTAATGATAAATCATGAAATAAAATTTTAAAGTGCAACTTTTATATTTTGTTATTTCTCATGTTAAACTGCTGAAACTAACGGCAAAAAGTGTTTTATGTTCTTATGAGAATTTTGTCCAGGGGTTCAATGGGGCGGATCTTCGGAATGTGTGCACAGAAGCAGGGATGTCAGCAATTAGGGCAGAACGTGATTATGTGATTCATGAGGACTTCATGAAGGTAAATTCTGAGGATATTGACTTCTAATATACAGTAGCCTAAAATCCAGAAAAATGAAATGAACGAAGCCAGTCTCTCTCTCTCATATGGGAAATTTAATCAAAATTTGACATTTTTCCTTTTTTTAACCATTCCAACTTGTGTTCATGCGTATTTGAAATTAAATCATTGAATAGTTGATCTCTTATATGTATTCTGATAAATTTCCCATATATATATATAGAGTAATGATCGTATGGGTCCCTCCTCCATCCATGTGTGTAGGACTTCAAAGGATCACCATTAAAGTTGGTACAGATCTATAAAAAGGTTATCATTTAATGGTACAGATCTATAAAAAAGTTATCATATGGGTGTGTGATATGACTTTTCTAGATATCCATATCAACTTTAATGGTGATCTTTTGGGAGTCCTACACACATGGGTAGGAGAGGGTGTTATAGGATCATTTTTCTCATATATATATATATATATATATATATATATATATATATATATAGTAGTAGTGTACTAACGTAACGTACGTACGTTAGGTAAGTAAAGTAAAGTAAGTAACGTAGTACGTTACGTTACGTTACCTTACTTACTACTACCGT